GATTTATCTTTCAGTTTATCATTACCCGGAGGATTCTTACTAGTCTTGGTAACCTTCAGCGCACGACAATCCCATCCAATTCGGTATCGAACCAACATCACGTTGATTCTGGTGGGAGAGTAGTGTAGTGGCTTAGGACCATAATCACACAATCCTCAAAGCTGAACACGAGACTACTCAGAAAATAGATATTCAATATTTAACGCAGAGAAATACCTAACAATAAAGAAGGCGCGAACAATGAATTGAATGGATTGAAGTTAATCGGATGGCATGGCTCAGCCATGCAGGCGTGGTCCCTCTGAATATTACCTTATATCTTTTCATATTAAATATATTGTTCCTTCTCCAGCCTAACCTTGTTCTACATCATGTATTGGTAATTGATACGATACAGTGAGTTGGTGTAGACGATGATGTGACTTCCACGTAAGATCTTATAGATTAGGCAGTTATATCATGACAAATCTACAATTTTAGGGTTAGGTCTATTATTAGAGCAGTACTAATATCATAGTAGACCATAGTTCTACAGATTCATTGATTTTAGAGTATATTTTACACCAATTCAAAACCTTTTACCCAAAGTATAATGGAAAGTTTTCGCATGGTTGTTATACAGTGTCCATGGCATTCATTTGATCCTACTTGGAACTCGTCAGTTAAACGTTTGTACATTTCATTGTTGATATTAACACAGTGACTCAAATCCGTTTACTTTTTTTAAACGGCAGCTTTCCTCAGTGAGCCAGAGTTAAAGTTGAAACAAAGTTTTATAGTAAGTAATAGGGTATTGGTGAAGGCTTGTATATGGTTTGTTGTAGGTATTTATAAATGTCGAATTCTATGTGGATTGAAACTCTCGGATTCCGATGCTAGGCACATACCATGTACATTAAATTGCTGTATTGTCTTGTCGAAACAGTGGATAACTTAAAAATGATATGGGAGCTTTTCAGCCTATATAAACCAAATCATAAAGTGAGTACAAATAATGATCTAGAGAAAGAACTGAGACAAATTCAATTGTGCCACTTCAACAGAGTTTGTGTAATTTTTCAAGAGACGATGACTCAGTATTATACTACAGTAAATTACTCTGAGAATAGCACGCAACATTTGATGCATAACAACTCTGAGATTAATGGTAAGAAAACGCTGAAAAGCCCTTCACAGCGTTCCGTTGTACAGTACAGTCATTTATTTGCTTATTCTCCCTGTCGTGTATTTTAACCTTCATTCAAATCTTTTAACCACAACTTGTCTTCTTTGGTCTTCCTTGTCTGAGCTTTTACTTTGGTCAAAGATTTGCCTTCTGCTACCTAATTTTTCTGTTGCACATTTTCGCACTATTGACAATAAGATTGTGTTTGCCTAAGCTCAAGTACACGGCGGGGTTCAGCGTATGATTGTTAACCTTTGACTATCTTCTTGGAAAGGCTACTGGAATCCCTGAAGATAGATATTTGATCCAGTCTCGTTGGGAATATTTTATTGATTCTCAGGTTTCGAACTCTTGTGTATTAACCACCCCTTTTGTTGTTTATCACTCCAATTTGTGTTAGAGAAATTCTTGACTGCATAGCACAGGCTGCATCGTTTGAGAAATCCTGTATTTTTGATATAATGTGTTCTCCTCCTCAAATTAGAACCATGTAAATTGGGCATGGAGCATGTGTTTTTGATATGATTTAATACGAGTAAATCAAAAACGCATCGTACGCTGTACAGAGGAACATAGTCTGGTCTAATCGAATAAACTTTGTTAAGTTAGTTCTGCATTCAAATCGAATACTAGCATTTTGGTCGTTACATACAGGTTCATAGCTTAATACTTTCTCGTTCTCGTTGATGGACAACTACGGGATCTCTGATTTGACTTTGTATGAATCCTTTAAGACATTAGTTATGCCATGCTAAGGTGGCTTCAGTATATTCCTACAGCAACACATTGTAATTACAGTTATTTAACAGAGGCGACTTTCAATCTACACCGAACAATAGGGGTCAGTATTGATCTTCCACTGACAGTTACTTTTTACCAACTACTTTCTTGTCGATTTTGGATAAAAATATTTGCATCTTTTCTAGTTATCTGTCCCACCTCAGCAATGGGTATGAACTCTTCGATTTTCATCTTAATAAATCCCATTTTCGCATAGGCGTCGGAAGTTAATATTCAGCCGAGTCAATAAGATGACAATAGTGTTTTAAGTTTGTCAATCGACGTCTATAATTCATTAGACCATCACCATTTCGCACCGTTCAACAGGAGATAAATCAATGAGTGTTTCATTTTTCCATAGATGTGACTGAAGCCTTTATAATCTGATGATGTCTATAAATAATCATTTGTTGACGACATTTTGTGGTACTGGCATTTGATTTATAGCATTAATATTATAAAAACCGGTGCTACAACCGTCCTTGTCGTGTGCAACCCTAGATACGTAATGGTTCGTATAAAGACATTGCACTTCATGTAAGTGAAAGTTAGATTGTTTAAATTTTGTCAGGACACTATCAAGTCTATGGGAAATTTCCCGCTGAGCAGGTCCAGTAACAATAATGTCATCCAAGTAGCCACCAATCTTTCGTAATGCACATGTTGCAATATACATAGTTTGTTGGAATGTCGCTGGAGCTGTCCTCACACCGAAGGAATATCTCTGGTGCTGATACATACCTTTGTGAATTTTAGTGATCAAGAGGTCCCCCGAAGATCCATCAATTTCATCTTGAGAGTATGTGTTTGCTAAGCTCGTTTTTAAAAATACTTCTCACCATTAAGTTCCATGAATATATCTTATGGCACGGGAAGTGAATATGAATGATCTTCCAATGCATCATCCAGATCTGTCGGGGAATGAGCACACAAATGTTAGAATTCGTTGGCCTTTTATAAAAACGACTACTAAGGATGTTCAGAGTGAATATTTCGCAGGTTTGAGGATTACCAGTTCCTCCAATCTATCCAACTCCTTATTCACTAGAGGTAGAGAAGCATATGGGACTGATCGTTTTAGTTAAAAAATAGGTTGAATTTTTGGCCGCAAGCATAAAACTACTTTCTGTACATCAGCTTTTCACTGAATAACGAACTATATTTCGACTTAAGGCGATTGATAAGAATTAATTGTTGTACCAGTGGATGTCTGAGTTCAAAGTAAAATCTATGGACAGGCGAGAATAAGTTGTTTTTCTTATAATGACGGCTGAAAATATGAATCACGACGATTTCTAGACACAAACGAGACATTACCTTTAATTTCACCAGCCAATTTTATTAGATCGCTCGGCGCATTCCTGACTCTGTGAGACATTTGCGAGACAGATAAAGACCTAAGTGTACGTCAAATGTCATGAGAAGTTAGAATAATATCTGACCCAGTATCAAGCTGCAACCTGAAAGATTTGTCATTTAACTATTTCTCGATATATTTCTTCTCAGACAGCCTAACACCTAAAACACCAAAACCCTGATGAATTTCGCGCCACAATCCATGACCTGTTATTTCATATCTGATCTGTTTGTCCATAAATGATAGCCTCACCATTCTTCTCTGTTTTCAATTATTTTCGTGACGTTTTTTAGATTCGAAATGGATCGAGACTCTGCTTTCACGTCTTGGGCGGTTATTAATGTATACTGTTCCATGTGTGCTAAAGTGCGAGTAAGAGTTTAAGAATCAGATGGCCGCTGTGATCCACAGGGAAAAATTAGGTATTTGATTTGGTCTGAAGTTAGTGAATTCAGGTCAAGAATAGGTATTGAACTTATCACAAGATAATTTGGATGTATAATAGAGATAATTGTTCACCAAAAGCCCATTGATGCTGTGTTATGAAAATTAATATTTTTAGAAGCACTGTACGCCTGTTTCGTCCGAGTGTGGGACTCCTCAGCAATGCGCATCCACGATCTCACTCTAGGCCACTGGGCTGGTATTCAACGGTGTTAATGTCTAACATCAACCATTCCACGAAATCGCGCTAGCATCTTCCATTGTCCGAGGTAGGGACATGTCTCTACCTGACATGAATTAGCTCCACTGGTCATGGATTCCAACTAGAACCGCGAGAATTCCCTAACGAAGCCAGTCACTAGTGAGCGTATGATAATTATCAGTATGGAGTTATGAAGTTTTTGACGGAGACAGTGGAAAACTGGAAGCACTGGACGGACGTTACTTCTAATTATGGGACTCCTCAGCAGTGTGCAGCGCTCTCAGGCTTTCATTGGTGGTCTACTATCAATTAATGCACGATCAAAAACTCAACAGTCTCCGCAACCCCATGTTGATAATATTTCTAGACACGATTTGTGTTGTTAGCGACGACTTTTAAGGTTTTCAGACATCAACAGACTGCTCAAGTACACAATATTAGAGAACCATGCCAGTATACACGTGCTCAAGCCCCTGAAACACGGAATAACCACTGTCATTCATGCCGCTCAAAGTGGTGGAAAGAAAGCACGATCAATTCTGAGAGTTGATTTCCTTGTTTCGGTGTTTTTGAAGATGGACCTGAAGGCTTGTTAATATGCTGAGAAACGTTTGAAGAAAGCTTGCTAGTTGTTGCAAAGTATGAGTAGCATCGCGTACCCACTATTGACCTGGTGTGAATATGTAGCCGAGCGTCTTCAGTTATGGTGTATCCTGTAAAACTAACGAAGTCTGCATCGATGTCGAAGATTACAAAACCCTATTTTAAAGATTTATTGACCGGTACACACGCAATGTCAAACTAATAGGAATAATAAATCCAGAAAAAGAGATCAGAAGTTGTGTGTTCCATTCCTGAAGTTTGGGCTACTACATTTCGATTGACTTGTAGGAGAATACATGTGGTTCCTTCAAGTTTCCCAGCTAAGAATGATTAGTGTGACACATAATTTCATAGTATCTCTTGATTACGCATGCAAATGACTTTGTACTATGACTAAATGGACTAAATATTCAAACGACAAGTATGTGAAATAATTAACACTTACACATGTTAGATTTTGGGTATTGGACACAGTTCTAAAAAAACACCAACTTCACTTGTTTGGGTTAGCACAATTTTGAAAATGTCTGTTGCTTCAGGTTGTTGTCTAAAATGGTCTACTTCCGTGGGAGATATCGTTAAAAGAACATCAACTCTTATAAATTATGCTCGTTCAGTCTATGACAAAGTGGGATCATCTAAACCGGATACTTTTGAGTCAGTTGTTCTGGTAAATTACAATACTGGTTGCATCGACATGCCTCTAGCCTATTTCTATGTTCGAAGCTGAATATCAAACAGAAAGGAATGCCATAGATTTCCCTCAACACACTTTCCCTTGTAAAGCTATAAGGGATGCCAGTTGTGACGCCACTCGCAAACTTTCCGATGTTGAAGTAGAATTAGAGTAAGTTGACTCAGTCTCCATCTCGCGATTTTGCGGTTTTCCTTAAAGTCATGTGAAAACTCGTGGTTTCCCTCAAGCTTTGGGGTAATATTGTGGTGTCCTCAAAATTTTGCCCGAAACAAAGATTGGGGAGATTGTTACAGCTTGTGCTCATCATGATGTGAATTAAACTTGTGTAAATTTAGCTTGCATAGCCTGTTAACTGCGACTAGTGAGAAATGATTATAATCAAGTACGTCATAAAAACTTATTTGATGTCCTATGGATTTTGTGTCTTGTGCTTAAGAAATAGGTTGATAAAATCTATGAAATATCAGTCAGCAACATCTGTGTAGGTCTAACCATATAGCTGGCACGGACATGAGGCATTTTTTACACATTGTTTATTACTTAATTTATTGAAATATTCACAGAAACTTAATCATTGTCGTCAGTGTCATAGAGATAAACTTATAGGTAAATGTAAACTTCCTGATTGTAGGATTTAGGACAATCATAGTCTACAACAAAAACGAATGACACGTTTGAAATATGTTGTTGTCGAAAAATATGTATCTCCTTTTCGCATGAATGTTCGCTCTATTACTTTTCCTTAATTTGATTTCCTCGTGACGTACTAAACGTTGTCTGATTATTATTTACTTAAAACTAACTGTCATGTTTTACTACTATTTTTCTAAATTTTTATTGCCTAGGATGCGAAAGGACGTATTTGAGAAGTTTGTTTCAGTTCAAAAAAATATAGATTCATCATTCTCCGATGAATATCGTCGTTATGTTGATAGAAAAGTTCAACTCGGTCGGAGAAATGGTTTGTTGCTTGTTTCTGTATGATATTTATGAATAACTGTAATTGTGAACAACAGGTCTTCATCTGGATGACGATAAAAGGAAGTTGATAGAAGCCTTGAATAAGGAAGAAAATCAATTATGCATTGATTTCCAACGTGCTCTAAATGAAGAGAACACTTTGTTAGAGTTTACAGATGAGGAATTGAGTATGTTAACAATAACAATGATAAAGTTTTAGATTAACTGAATAAAATGTTAATGACATAATTATGATAAATCATGGTGATTCTATGCTTTGTGTGTTAGTTGTTTGCAGTGTTTTAAGGCTAGAAAGATAGATGGTTATATAAACATATCCAGTTACCAGAATTGCAGGCTCGCTAATGAATTTGTCGTGTTTTTGATTATTTTATTTCATTGGTTATGAATATTATACATTGGAACTGAAGAGCTCTTTTATCTTTGATGAGGTAATCAACAGTGTTAGTTTCCTTGAGCGACTCGTCTTGTGGCGATGAAACTGGTTTTTGTATACCTTTTGTTAATGCGACCTTCTAATATGCCTTCAGTTGAGCCACAACTCCATTATCCAGCGTCGGTGGGGTAAACCGTTAAGTTGTTGCCTCGTCAGTCATACAATTTTTAATTGATTTTTCTGTTTAATGGGTATTTGTTTGGAAATCAACAAAACAATCTATTTGTGTTTTTAATAGTTGTAGAAAGTATGACAGTTTAGATCCATTTTCTCTGTGTTGTTTGGTTTAGCGATTCGTTTGTGTGTTGTTATTAAAGTAGCAGAACGATGATGGATAAAACATACTTCAATGGTGGAATGATGTAATGAATTTCTTGTGACAAACGGTTTTTGGAGTAGCTAGTAAAACGTTGCAGGTAAATCTATTTTCGTGTACTGTTTTCCTTATGGAAATTAATATAGTTTAATTTGTTTGTTTTTAGCTGGATGTCCTGCTGATTTCATTGATGGTTTGAAAAAGGTGATTCTGTTTTTTTTTCGCGTTATGTTATTCTGTAGTTGTACATTCTTGACTTTTTTTTCATGCAACCTAATGTTGTTATCAGTGAGGATTGTTATGCCTCGATTGTTGATTTTGAGCTGTAGTACTGAAATTACAAGTTATAGAATGCAAACGTAGTTTGAGTAATGTGTGATATAAATGGTCACCAACAAATTGGCTCAGGTTAATTATTTAAAGAAATTGATCATTAAACTATTTGAATTTATCAACCACAGAATAAGAATCACATCTCAACAATTTCATAATAATAATGATATTAATTACGAAATTTCCTGTACAAATTATTTATGTGCTGCCTAATATGTTATTATTTCTTTTTCAATACACTTATGGATTAAAAATAGCTCCCTTCCGGCAAACGTGAAGTATCTCTCAAATATCCACACTACTTTCCGATCATGCAAAAAGCATCTAATCCAGAAACAAGGAGAACATTAGAAACAGCTTTTAATTCGAGGTAAATTAAACGTTTGGCTATTGATTTTCTTTAGAGGCTTATCAAAAGTACTGGTCGTCATTATTGATAAATGAAGTTTAGTGGGATTTGTATGGATGCGCTCCATCACTGTCTAGCTTTCATTTAAAATAAGTGATTTTGCGTTACATACACTTAATTTCCAACCTCTAGGTTGGAGGTCAGAATCCTGCTCAAACTAATTTGGTTTACGCTACTTGGTAATGTCACTAACCCTCCCACAACAAACAATATGGCCCAAGTCTATGAAAACAACTTTCATGAATCAGTAGATAATAGTTAGTTGAAGGAGAATTTAGAAATGTCTGGTATTTTGACTTTTATTATGAACCTAAATTATAGATTAGTATTAGGTATTTTCCTATAAATTCACGTAGACTTTGAATTTGTTTTGGACTTATAATTTATGTTTTTAGGTGTGTTAAAGAAAATACACCCATATTGAAACGTTTAATGGAACTGCGAAAAGAAGTAAGTTATTTTATTTGTACCTGTAATTAAATAATTTCAATGAACATTAGTGAATTGAGAGTGGATGCTATTCACCCATCATTATCATTATTAGTACTGGTATTACTGCAACATAATATAGCGATGACATTCACATATACACTTTGGACTACAAACCAAACTGTAGCCCCCTTATCTTGTTGATTAGATCATGGTAACCAGTGAAAGATGTAAAAACAGTGTTCACAGATTTACTTTTAGCTGCTTGTTTCTAAAACATTTGATTCAGTATAATTCATCTATTCTGTACAAGTTCATGTACACCCTGCTTCATGTCACACTTTTTTCAAGCGTTGTTATAGTCAGCCAGTCACTAACAATGTAGAATTCGTATGTGAGTACATCATTTCGAGTTGCCACACCACATTAGCACAGAGATGCATTTGTCGATTCAAATTCCGTAGTCGTAGAGGTAGTAAAAGTATAAGCTGTAATCAGATACATTAGGATCCCAAGATGTTATTCAAGGAGTATAATCGAGTGAAATAAATTGGGAAAGCGAAAAAAGGAACATGAAGAATTCAGAAGATTAGAGTTTGAGAGAACACAAAGACTGGACGCACTTGCGCCATTGCAAACGATTTCGAGCCATGTCATTCAGGGTCTCTAACCATCGGTTGCTATCGTCTCGCGGATCCCAACCAGATAGTCTACACCTACCAACATGCCTCAGTCCACTTGTCAGTGACTTCATGGATTTGATCCATGCTTTGATCTGGTCACCTCAATCTTTCTTTCAACCTACTCCTACACCGACGTGCGATACGCCGGGGCATTCTGTGGTTGGGCATACGTAACACCTGTCCCAGCCATCTCAACTGATGGCGTTTCACTACTTCATCAATTGATTTGCCATCCCTACCTAGTATCCGTTTTCTTAACAACTACATTACTTGCTCGGTGGTTCCAGGATATACGAGCAATGCTTCAAAGACACCTATGATTGAATACTAGTTAGGACATTGCGATGCTATAGTAAGTTAACCGAAATTTGAATCTTTTAAACCCAGTAGTCGAAAGTTTGATTCGTAATGACCATCAAACTTGTAATTAAAAGCAGTGATTTGTATTAAGGTTTAACCATTTATTATGTATATTTCCATAGTTTAAATAATGAGTTGACCATAGCTAGATGAACATCGAAAAACTAGCGGCACTCGATGACCGTTTCATCTTAGCATGGGGCTCCTTAGCAACGAGCATTCTCGACTCCCATGCGGAAATTGAACGCAGGACTTTTCGCTCGCGAATGCTTAACCTGTAGACCACGCGTTCCATATATTATAGTCATGTAACGGATATTTCATCTTCATCCATGCCATAAGCTGACCACCTGTTAAATCTATCTAAGCATCTAGGTCACCCGATTGAGATACACGTGAAACCGAAATTCCAAAACAACGATTTGTTTACAGTAGCGGTTCTTTATTGAATAATACACAAAATTTAGTTACAAACCTCAACTTTTGAGGTGTCTGGAGCACTTAAACGCGTCCTTCAAGAATGAAATAAAAGGGCTTCCTGTAACAGTAACACAAAGAATAATTACAGCATACGATAGTACAAAGGACAGCTGATAGCTGTGTCTAAGTTTGCTAACAGCTTATGAACAACCGAAACCCGAACTAAGAGCAAAGAATGTGGAAACTGTTGCGTTTAAACAGATGCACAAAACTGTGGATAACCGCTACAGTGATTATGATGATTAATACAATGATAAGTACAATAAACGTTATAAGTATGTGTGAACACTTCAGAATACTACACCACAACTTGCGTTACAACATAAGTGTAAAAATTGTTGGAAATACAACAGCTTACTGAATGTAAATAAGTAGTATAAAACAGTATACAAAGGAGTGGGGAGGGAGCGAGTAGGAACAATGTAAGACAAACTTAACACCACCTCTCCGCGTTTTCCAACCAGTCCTAGCGTCGGCAAATAATGCACGACGTGGAATTCTATGCGAAGACATTCGTAGGCATGTCCAAGCCACCGAAGCCGATGTTCCAAGATAGTGACACTAACTGAACTGTCATCGCTGTGTCCGAACACACGGCACCGAACCTCTGCATTACTAACATAGTGTTGCGTTTGGATTCTTCGGAGACAATGATGATCAAACACAGAGAGTCGTCTAACATCCTCAACTCGGAGAGGCCAGGTTTCACAAGCATCGAGCAGAACTGCTCTCACCGACGCGTTGTAGATCCGACCTTTTACAGCCAGACTTACATCACGAAGGCGCCAAAGATGCCCCAGATTGGGATAAGCCGTTCTGGCTTTCATTATACGTGTATTGATCTCATCACTCACGCCACCACCAGCACCTATACAGCTACCTAGATACACAAACTTCTCGACTACTTCTATCTGCTCACCATCCAGGGTGAGTACAGGGTTAGAATCCTGCCAGTCTTGTAGAAGTACTTTGCACCGCGAAGGTGCAAAGCACATGCCCTACCTACGGACATTGATTGGCAACTGATTAAGTGTGGATTGCATGACTTGGGCATTATCGCACAGTAAGACAATATCATCCGCATACTCAAGGTCGAGAAGTCTTTCTCCAGGCAACAGATCCGCACCGCCATTACTTACATCTATCAGGGTTGTTTCCAGAATGTCATCGCTGGCAAAGTTGAAGAGGAATGGTGGGAATGAGCAACCCTGTCTAACCGCACTGCTCGAATGGAACGATGGAGAAAGGTGGTTGTATAGCCTCACTGTACTTGAGGTGTTTGTATATAGGGCCTTCAGGATGTTAATAAACTTCTCAGGCACACCCTTCTTCAATAGACAATCCCAGGAACAGTCCTGTCCAATGAGTCGGAGGCAGCCCTGATGTCAAGAAACACTACGATTATTGGCCTTTGATAAGTATGGCGGTGTTCTAAAATTTGGCGGAGGGTGAAGGTGTGATCGATGCATCCTCGACCAGAACGTAAACCAACCTGCTCCTCGCGAGTCAATCTTTCTCGGGTTTTGAACAACCTACGAAGTATGACGGAAGCCAATAGCTTGGACGCAATCGGAAGTAGACTTATCCCCCGATAGTTGTTACAGAGATGACGTGAACCGTTTTTAAAGATAGGGACAACTATCGACTCATTTCATGACGTTGATACGCTCCCTAGTTCCCAGACCTTTGTAAACAACGTCGTCAATTCCTTAGTCAAAAAGTCACCACCATCTTTAAAAAGGGCCGGAGGTAAGTCATCTGGGCCAGGTGATTTGTGACGCTCCAAGAGTTGGAGTTCCTTGCGAACTTCCGCCTCATTCGGTGGATCAGTCGTCACCGGCCATGGAGGGCAGGACAGTCTGACCGATGTTGCCGGAGCAGCAGGCCAGTTGAACTGCCCTTCGAAAAATTCTGCCTATTGTCCAAGACGTTGATGGATGTTAGTGATTGGCCTCTCATCATTCTCGCATATCGTTTCGCTCTCACCAGACTTCTTGCTGCCAGTAGCTCGGATGAATTGAAAGAGCCTCCGGTAGTTATCAGATGCAGCTGCTGCTTCCAGCTCATTGGGACGCTCCGACCACCAGGCTTCTCGGTCCTTATGCAAGCTTTGTCCAATTTCATTTCGTAACATCCTTCGTTTATGGTCAAACTCACGGTCACTCGGAGTAGACCGACTGGCTTCAATGAGTTGTAAAGAACCTGAAGAAACCTAGTGCTTGTAAGCGGGATGTTTCGCAAACCCGCAAGTGACTTTACTCGCCATTTTCATGGGATCATGCTATTGCAACTAACAGTCTCCTATTGGCATATGTGCATCCTGTGCGGATTGCCTCGATATTGCCTTCAGTCACAAACACTGTAAGCTGCTAGCCACCATCTAGTCTTGTTGCACTGGTTGAGCTGGTTCATTCGCCATTTATCTTACCTTAGATTTTAAGCCTCAGTATTTCACCAGATAAACATTTTTATTCCGTGTTCTTGTACACTATCCTCAGTGAAGAATACTTCTCAGTATGATTGCTGTTACATCACTTCGGCTTATTCACTATACATCTTATTCATTTTATAGATGTGCTAATGTGTTATGAAAACTTGAACTGTTGCACATCGATACCATACATATATATCTTAAGATCTTTCTTTGTACATTGTAAGTGGTTGTGACTTTCATTTTCTTCTATTACGTATTCTTATGTATAAATTTATTCTTAGCGTGCAACAATTCTTGGTTTTCCTACACATGCTGATTTTATGCTTGATTTACGTATGGCTAAAACTGCTCTCAACGTTGATAAATTTTTAAGCAACGTTGGGACTAAATTAAAGGAAGCTCAAGTAAAAGAGACTGCACGTTTATTGGAATTGAAAAAAGAAGAGGTAAGATTCGGATAAGCAAATTGATGCTTTCTCTTCATATTGTTCTATTGTGTTTTGTAATTGTAGTTGTCAAAAGTTGTTTTACACGTGACATTGTTGTGAAAATACCTTTGAGCAATATGTATTCGGTCTCAGCATGTTTAGACTAGAATGAATAAACTTGGAAGTAAACATAAGCTATTAAGCGAAGAAATTTATCTTTTCGTCGATTTCATTTACTCAAGCTGCACAATCGTATTTATATTTGTAATAATGGCTGATTAATAGATATAAAAAATAATGGAAAAGGAATAAAAAAATGATAAATTATGGGAGTTAGAAAAAAAATTAAGACCTTTGTAGGATAAGGAATCAAACATACTGTTTTTGTACGTAAAGGTTAGGTTTAAATTAGTGAGTGGCTAAAGCCTCTTCTGCGTATTATTCTGTACGGCACTTTGAACACTATGTGAAAGGACAAGAATCCCTTTTTTCACCGACCATAAATCCTTACCCTTTCCCCCTCACTCTTCTTCAGACAAGAAAACGTCACAGGTTTATGACTAATGAAAAAAGTGAATTCCTGACCTTCCACATAGTGTTGGATGTACCACACAGCACAATACAATATTATTATTGACGGTTTTACTTAATATTATGCGAATGCCTTAATCGTCAATAATATGCTTGCGGAAGTCTAGAGAGCCGGTTTCGACCCGATATTTCTGAATGTTTATAGTAGTGCCATGTCTTTGGAGTCGTTTGAAAACAAGTTTTAGATGCTGGAGATGTGATTCTCTGGCCTGATATTTGACCAAACAGTCATCAACATACGCGTGCACGAAGTCGAGACCTCGGAATACGTCATCGATAAATTTGTGAAAAGTTTGTTTGGCATTTAAACCGAAAGGCATGAGCAAAGGTTCGTAGAGTCCGAAAGGAGTGACGATAGCTGTTTTAGGTCTGTCGTTTGTAGCCATAGAAATGTGCTTATACGCTTTAGCGAAATAAAGGGAAGTTTGACCTTTCAAGGTAGCTGTTAGGTGGTGGATTTGCAGCAAGGTGTAACAATAGGGATTGACTTTTCGTGTTATGTCGCTGATAATTACTAGTTGGATGACAATTCTTGCTGTTCTTTTTAAGGTCTATGTTCAAAGGAGATGCCCATGGGTTAATAATGGCCAGGTTATTCTCAAGTCCATTATATGATCGAATTCGTTTTCGGCCAATGTTGGCTTTTCGTGAGCTATTCGCCCTGCTTTCGAGAATGCAAGTGGTCCTGTAGTCGTAATGTGGTGTGTGACAATGCTAGTTATACACGGTAGTTGCAGTCGTGTTCTGTACAGTTTAAGATACTTGTCGAGTATCGATCGGAAGAATGAATCGATCATATGTTTAATCGTGACCAAGCATAACCTACAGCCATAAAGTGAAATTTCACAAACAGTGTTTCCATCTACTAACCTCCGTTTCCTCTCACCGATGAGTAGATTATGTTGTATCAGGTCTATACCAATGATTAGCATAGAAACGTCTGCAAGAATAAAAATCCTGTGTGTGGGCTGGCGTAAACCCACGTTAAGGTGAACAAATCTTTCACCTTTGGCGGAGATCGGTTTTTCATTTGCCACCTATAAGTTGAAGACTAGATCTTGTAAACGATCATTAGTATTCACGGGAAGGACCACCATTCACTACTCTCGGTGATATTTGTGTCACACTCACCATGGTTGAACTTAGTTGTTCACAGCTTCCCATTATAACTTGGATAATTTGTTAGTTACAAGTAATCGCATTATTATTATTATTATTATTATTAATTACAGTGTGTTATATTGACTATTTATATGTGAAAGGGTCGTGGATGCTTACTGCCATAAAGTAATAGTTTCACGCTACGTTAGAGGTAACTATTGGATGCTACCTGATTTATAGTAGATTGTTTAAGTGAATTGATTCAATGAAGCAAAACTTTGAATTCCCATTTGTTCATGCTGTTAATTTCATCTCCAATTTTGCTAATATGGTTTGACAATCTGAGGTGATGCATTTTATTCTTACCCACTTCTGCGTTGATAGTAAATGACTGACTGATTATTATGTAAATTATATTCTATTTTAATGTATCATATTCGTTACAAAAACATGAATGTCACGCTACTGGAAAGTTCTAACCTAAGTCAACACAATCGCTTGATGCCAGTGCTCCCTTATTTTTCATCGGTTCTACTCATGTGGTATTTTCGGACCATAATAAAAATCCTCTTCAGTTGTATTCTTCTTTCCAACCTTCATTTAATGCACATACATAGTTTGTTTCTCTCTTCCAGTGTGACCGTTTAGGATATACGTTTAATAATTGCTTAAATCCATGGGACACACGATATTATATGAATATGGTTAAAGAACGAGATTATTCCGTCGATGAAGTGGCTCTGAAGAAATATTTTCCATTGGCCACTGTAAAATCAGGTATATTGCGATTGTATCAACAACTGCTTGGTTTAAGATTTGAGCGTGTTTCGAATGCAGAAGTTTGGCACGAAGAGGTAGAAATGGTTAGTTTACAAATTTGGTATATTGATTCTTCAGTTTGGTCAAGTCTGTATTGTTTTATTTCTAGAGCTAGCGGTATAGTGCTCGACTTCCCAAACTGAAGTAGTTGAGTGTGGGATTGAAACTTATTACATTGTGATTAGATTTTACATAGTGATAACACAGTGGAGCTATATTAGCTGGGAAAATGATCCATTTAGGTCCTACAATATCAGGCAGCTCGCTTGGAGAATATAGTATAGTTAAAAGCAAGAACTGAGAGCAAGTCTGAGAGCGATATCGTTGTGCTAAGTGTACTGGGATGTGACGGCAGTAAGTTGGTGATTCTCTCAGACAACTAGCATTTTCAGCGATGCTGCTTTCCGATAACGGACTAAAAGTATTAGAAAGTGTATGCTCTGAAAATAGTGTAGGTCAGCTTGTCCTACAGATTTCTGTCATCATTGGTAAGTTCTGCACGGAGCTAACACATTAAGAACTACTCCTAAATAGGCCTTGTGTGGTCGGCCTCGAACACTTGTCATTTGGGCATTGTGGTTGCGCCCCTAGGTCGTCAAAATCACAGTGTTAGCAACCAGGAAGTGAAAATCACTCTGGTTACATAGAACAGCACTCAACTGATCAACCCATCGCTATACACACTTGTTCAGACTGTGTAGACGGAGCAGGGAATCTCGGTTTCGGTGTTTGACGTTTAGGAACTTAGTCGCACGTTTGAACCTCATCATGACTACGGTTTTGTCAACGAAATAGCATCGATAGCCGTCACTTGAAGTGTGTCTCGAAGCCAAGCGCATAAATGTATACGCGGTTAATGATGATTTCCCTACTACTACATCGATATATTTGTTGAGTAATGAATTTCAGAAACTCGATTATATACTTTTGTTGTCGATGATATATACGCACATATTGGATTATGTAAGGTTTATGCCTTGGTCATCAGTCAATTCAATTATGTTACCTTCATTTATGAATTTGATATACTTTGAGTGTTTCCCTGTTGAATATTAGTGATTTATATTACTAAGCATTATTTCTATCTAATTTGTTGTATGAGGGTTAAACAAAGTTTGTAAAGCTTATGTCAAACTACTGACTATTCAAGTGCAATCCAATCGATTCGTAGTGTCAATGGTTCTCATAAACAGTATGACCATGCAATATTTGTGTTTATAGGTCAAGAATTCGTCTATCTTGGGACGAAAAAAACATTCAATTTATGTGAAATACTATATACACTGTCTTAATTTTCCATAAGTATGTACAAGTGATATCTGTCCAGGTGAGCTAACTCCTTCCATTAATTCATCTGAATCATGTAATCATTCGAGAGATAATTCCCTTAGTTCTAGTGACGATTCGTGACTGGTGGAGCCTAACGGTATCAGAAGTGAGGCAGTTATCCACCACTGATGATGGTTGCTCAATATCACATATTGGTTTGAGTTAGAAATGTAAACTGTTAGATGCGAACTCAGTGGTCTAAATGTTAATTTCCCACCACTAGTCCTGGAAATTCTGTGTTCAATCCCCAATGGTGTTGTAGATGCATACTACTGACAACTTTCTTACTGGTATGAAATGGTTATTTAGTGCTTCTAAGTCTTCAACAGTTGTTTAACCAAAGTCAGTCCTTGATGTAAACTATTTTCAAATGTTATTAAAAACTTAAAAATCATTTAATTTTGTAATTAACTGTGAATCTTTCTCTCTGTTTGTCTGTATAATTTTTCGTTGTAGTATTCAGTGAGTGATTCTCAATCTGATAGTTTGTTAGGTTATTTCTATCTTGACCTGCATCCACGTGAAGGTAAATATGGACATGCAGCTGTATTCGGTTTACAACCAGGATGCCGTAGATTATTGAACTCCAATAATATTACAGTGGATGAACATAGTCATTCCCCATCATTATTAACCTCTGAACGTCAATTGGCTATAGCAGCAATGGTTGCTAATTTCACTGCACCAGATAAAGAAACTGGTGAAGGTTTTCTATTACATAGTGAAGTTGAGACATTTTTTCATGAATTCGGTCATTTGATGCATCATATTTGCTCACATACTGAAACAGCTTTATTTAGGTGAGTAAATATTTTCAGTGGTTGGAGTAAATTGTGATGCATTACTTAATTATTTGCGTCTGTTGCCCGTCGTGGGACATGGGTTGCTGAATAGACTCCAGTCAACTCTGTCTTGGGCTCCCCTCAGTTGTTGCCAAGTGCTGTTCATTCTTACATGAAATTCAGTCATTCCTTACCATTAGTTTTTGTTATAAACACTGTCGTTGGGTGAAAAGTTCTGTTATGCGATGTTTGGTGGTTGGAGGAAACACGGATTAACACTGTTTTCGTGAATATTAGTAATATTATGAACGCTTATCCCTTAGTAGTAGTTAAAGCACGGGTATCCTGTCACAATCTGGTTTGGTTACATGTCGCTGCGAATTCAGACAAGTCATCGTTATCCTACAGACAGCCGTGGGTATAATATTATGAATAGATGCGTTATTCTACCTACTCAAAATATCCGACTACCTATGCTTAGATTAGTCCACTAACTCATGCATATAGGCATGACTTACGTGCATAATTATTTGATTCTTGGCATTAAAACTTCTTGAGCATGATTGGTCTTCTTGTTTTCTCATAAGTGATGTAGTTAAATGTCATGTAGCTTATGAATTTGTGACGATTGGACTGGGAGATCATAACATTGTTCTGTTGTGGTGTATGCTACATATGTTTGCCGATATAATTGGTATGTAACACCAGTCGAAAGTGAATTGTCTGCGAACAGAAAGTTGAGAAGATTAGAATGCAGAGGAAAGAGAAGGAAATTGAAAATAATCAGGATAACAACGAGAATGAAGGGACGGTGAAGCTTGTAATAGACGATTCAAAGATGATGTGCAAATCATATATGATTTTCACATTTTGTTAAACCACTGTGTGACCGTGCATTAAAAAATAAATTGGTTATCCCTATCTGAGTGTTCATTCACTACACTATTTCTAAACTCATTTAGACTCGTCAAGATATTTTATTCATAGACGAGATTACCTTGGGGTCGACGGAGATAGACTTACTCTGTATAGTACAATCCAATGAGGATTTTTAATCCTAATTAGACACCAGATTGTGTGAAGGTGTATGCCCCTTGAATATTGGATTTTGAACTAGAGACAAAGCATTGATAACATTTACACCATGATGAATAAAGACTTGAGTTATCCCGTTGTTGATATTGTTGACTGAATTTTGATCAGTCGTTGTTGACATATGTGTATCGTCTGTAGACTATCTCGATATAACTACTTTGTCGTAAGTCTTATGGACTCGATACGTTGTTGTTAGCAGTAGTGAATATCAAGAACGAGATAATTCTAAATCCTTACCATTAATGGTTATGCAAACTCACTAGCTCATGGAATAGCGATTTTGGCGTTTTGAGTAGAACATACTGGTTGTGTGCCCCAATGTGATAATCGATATACTGTAATGAATGTAGATTGAGCTACGACGAGTCTCAAATAGGAGGTTGACACGGGCGTTCAAGATTTCACTGCTCTTTACTATCCATCTACTATATTGATAACATTTGTTCCTATTTAATTGTTTTTTTTTATCTCTGAAGTGGTACAGCTGTAGAAACAGATTTTGTTGAGTGTCCATCACAAATGCTGGAAAATTGGGTATGGAATGTTGACGGACTGAAAGCGCTACTTGGTACAAATGATGATCCAATTCCAAAAGATTTATTAGCTAGTCTAATTAATTCACGTATAGCAAATGCTGGTCTATTTTATTCTCGACAAATACTTTTAGCCTCATTTGATCAAGCCATTCATACAACGAACTGGGAAGTGAGTTTGATGTTTTTTGGTAAAGAAAATAATAGGTTCTTGATGTTTGTTATTTTATCGTTTTTTGGCTTAACGTCGCTCATACTAATTAGTTTGAGTTTATACTCAATCAGTCTCACCGTATGCAATCATCTTGTAAATTTCTATACTACCCTATCCGTCATTAGTGTGTGATCATTTGATGCCGTGTGAGTTCTAAATTGTGTTGACATTAAAAGATGCTGATGGAGCAATCTATAAAATGATCAAAATTCGGCGTTTTTGTACTTTCTGGTATGAAAGAAATGTTCTCGACTGGTCACACACAGAATCGTCAGATGTTTCTATTTGGTCAGATATATACAACTGATTGTTCACTGAATAAGTGACCAATGTCATTTTTGTTAATTCTCCATTTCACCAATCAAGTTACAGCAACGTACCCATTATTCCAATCAACTAGATATCGTGTGCACTAAATCCTTCACTTGATAACATGAAAAACATAGTGCACGCGATATGCAGTCATTCAGACTGGAGTTGGCTTAATCAACAGATTCTGATTAACATCAGTATCATAGCTAGACAGACATGATATTGGTTACTAGTCAGTGACCAATCAATGTTTCTTTCTAATTTCCACAGGCGATCATTCACGAGTCTAGTGTATTCAGTTGTAACGTCTCAGATTGCAAACGTACTTGACATTAATTCCAATATTACAGATGCATCTTGATGATAAGTACCAACTAGCTTGAAACTGAATAGCTTCAATCAATTAATATGAAGTAGTAGCTGATCAGTGACATAATCCTCAACTTTTTACTTTAAAGAATGTTACTCGACTTGTAGAAATCATCACTGTACATTTGATATCAGTATTTATTTTCGAAATAGCCTTAGAATGGTAGATACATAGAAATAATATTAATTGTATTAAAACGCTTAAATTTAGGGTGAATACTAAGATAAATTAGTGAGAACAGGCTATGAAAACGTTAAAATGACATTGTCTCCAATAAATTGGAAGAACACGAGTAGGCATAATGATGCATAACACAACCGTAACTCCATTCAATTCTGGTTCCTATCATTCAACAATAATTCAACTACGTATTATGGTTATTTGTAGGACTTTAATCTACTTGAACACACACACCTAGATATAACTCCGATCAGATGTTAGTAACTTCTTGGATTTATTGTAATGCTCATCTTCATTGACACAGCTAAGTCTGACACAATAATCGTCACCGAAATGGTTCAAAGACATTTCGACGAAATACCTCAAAACTGATATTGTTAGTACGGTTGTATTCATTTTCTATCTTATAATAAATATTGATGGCGCCAGTGACCCACTGGTTTAGGCTCTCAACTTTCAACCACAAAACTGTCATTTTTTTATCTGGTCAATACAATGTTGAGCTTTGGATGATGTGAAAAAGTCCACTTATCTCTTCTCAAATAACCAAATCATAATTTCCCCGTGAGATATTCAATTTTTTTCTCTTATTAAGTGTTGGTCGTGTATAAATTTTTCTCATCGTTATTATTATGATAGGTTGGTTTAAAGAGGCAGTTGAATTTTGTAGTTTATACCACAAACTGACCTTGGTTAGGCAACCATTGAATACCTGGAAAACACTGTCCAGTTGTTTCGTCTCAGTAAATATCTAATGGTTAGTCACTTGTTGTGTAGCCTGCTTAGTTCTACCTTGGGTGGGGTGGTGGACGTGCACTGCTAATAATTTCCATACTAGGGCGGAACTGCTGTCCATTGCTTCTCGATTTTCGATAGTTTGTTTAAAATCAGTTGATGTAAATCATATCATAATTATTATTAACATGTTTGTATAACTTTGTTTCTAATTACATTTTGTGTTGTGCCTCATTTTTCTGACACAGGATGATCCACTAGTTACGTTTACAAATTTAAGCAAAAAATGGATTGATATTGAACCGACACCTGGTACTTTTATGCCTGCATCATTTGGACATTTAGCCGGTGGATATGATGCACGTTATTATAGCTATTTAGTAAGTTTATGATTCTAATTGATCATTATTCTTACTATCATCACCCTTGTTGTTCAATATCCTGTTGTATATTTATATATGCCGATTGCAAGTTTACATGTACGTGTAAAATATTTAATTGTAAATGATTGCTTAGTTTTGATTCTTTATCTGATGTACTCTTCACCTCTGTTATATATTATTACTTACAGTGGAGTGAAGTGTTCAGTGCTGATATGTTTGAATCACGTTTTCAATGTGCTATAGATGGTGGTTGCTTAAGTAAATCAGTTGGAAGAGATTATCGTGAGAAAATTCTCCGTCCTGGTGGTTCTAAAGATGCTGCAGATATGTTGAAAGATTTTCTTGGACGTGAACCAAATGATGATGCTTTCTTCAAATTATTAAATGTTAATTTACCGTAATTGAAGTCATTTGTCTTTCAATTTTTATTTTTGTTAGGGGAAAAAGAAGATTTAATTGTTCTTTGTTGAATTTTTTTAATATAGACGTTTCTGGACTTTTTAGTTTGATTGTTTTAATGTTTTGTTTTTTCCGTGATGCTTTCAAAGGGATTATCATGTAAGGCATGTAATTGCTTTTTGCAGATATTTCGAAGTGATTACTTAATGAAATGATTTCCAATTATATTCCCATCGCATTCCGTTTAGCTGATTTTGTCCACACTATTTTCTGTGTTCAATAGATGTGCTGAATCCAGCACATTCGATAGTTATTCCACTATATTCTGAATGAGGCTACGCACAACGTTTTCAATGCTCAATTATGATATTGTGGGCAACACATTCGGGTATTTTCCTTAATATTCAGTGGAAAGGTATTGCATGTTAGAGTGAAGTTTTCATTACGGCTACCTAAAGACCCGTAAATGTTTGATATGAATATGTCTAGTGTATTACAGTCCAATATTTGGGAGGGAAAACACAGATTTCATGAAAGTTAGGGTTTGTAACGCAATGTCTAACGTAGTTGATACTATGATACAACACGGATCCACTAGATGAATGAAAACGTTGCCGAAAGTGCTGCATACGACATATTTCTTGAACATTAAATGCGTTGCTCGTATCTTTGGTATTTTATTTCAAAGAGAATGGCTAGATTAGCCTATGGCTATAGATTAATGGGAATATTGACCAATTTGCATATTCAATAGCATACAAAGTTTTCACCTCAGCATTGTTTGTTTGTCAGAAAAATATATTTTTCAGTTCTACCGAGTCAGAACACTAATTGTTCTCAATAGGTCATATAAACACAATTGTCTGCTGAGTGATATTAGAAAACGTTCTGAGGATATGAGAAATAATTAGAAAATGAAGTATGTTTTCAAATTTAAAGTTAATGACATGAAAATAAGGTTGATAATACGTGTAGTCTGCTGTGAGGAAATTTTTGTAGATTTGGACGTATTCTATAAGCAATTTGCAAGTTATGTGACTAAACATGCGAGGATACAGCCCCTACTCGATTTACTCTTACACTTGTACAAGCCTTGTGGCACGAGCTAAACGATATTTTGGACAATAAATTAAGCGTCTGAAGTTAGTGCTATCGGGTTCACATCATGATGTGAATGTCAACACGGATGCAACTGACCCCAAATTTCTAGTTCCGTGTAGAATGAAACACGTTATGGATTTCAATGTACTAAAATATTGTTCTGTTTCGATTGTTTATGCCTTAATAGTGTGTTTGTAATGGTTTTAATCTTAATTATCAATTTACTTCATATTTGACCGGATATTTTGGGTTTTGTTTCAGTCATTTATGTGCGCTGCTAGGATGTTTCGTAACAGAACGGCTTTCCTGTGCTTCTAGATTTTAAATAGTCATCTTGCTAACATCGATTTGTAGATCAAACTAGAAATATTCAAGTATGTTCATGATGATTTATTGTCTTTAGATGGTGGTTAATTTGTGACATTATGAGCAGGTTCTGGACATCCAATACTATACCAAAAATATAATAAAGTTTTCCTTCTCATACACTTAAATACTGCAATGGGAAGACTAAGATTATCAGTGCTTCGTTGAAACTACTACAATTCTGGCATCAAAAAGCATGTCTACATCATTATGCCATTTATAGGTTAGTCAAACAGCCGTGTGTAGAAACGAAGGCTCAAATAAGTTGTTGACAAATTGTCAAAACGTCATTATTATTGAAAAAAACAAGGTTCATACTTCATCAAAAAAACCGAACGATCGCAATACATTTCACTGAACATACACTAGTCCGAATAATTAGTGCAGTTCATTACCCGAAAACGATGATCATAGAAATACCTCATTCAACCTTTTGCAGACGTCTTCCATCTTGAACTAGAACAAGTTATTGTTTTATGTAGCAAGGTTTGTTACACTGGATAGCAGATAAGTGTGGGACCTCAGTTTCGAAAAAAACTGAAGAAATGATTTCTTATTAACATTAGTTAGCAATAAGTGTCTTTAAATATTTGTCGTGTATGTTGGGAGAATTCTTGAAATTTACTTAGATATCAGTAGTTGTTATCACATTGTTCGATATATAATTAAACATTGGTGAGATTCATTTGCATTAAGTATACAATCATCACATATTATAACAAATTTAATTTTCTGAAATTATTGTGGAACTCGGGGTGACTACTCTACCGTTTGACCAACTTCAGATATCCCAGTACGACCACGATACTGTTCTCCAATATATCAGAACACGAACCGTTAGATGAAAATTCTTTATGGGGTCAGGAGAAGAATAATACTTTACAGACAAATGCATATTTATACAGTTAGGACTACCGTGAATATTGACCAATAGGAGAATGACACCATTTCACGTTCAAGGATAGCATTGGACTTAATAATTTTTGAGATATTTTTATGAATATCCGAACAGAAATAATATTAATTTAAATGGTACGACTAATAAATATCATCAATTTTTCCCACATGATGAATGAAGTTTTATTTTTCATAGTTTTGGGTAAAATTTGACA